GTGAGATGGAGGAGGAAGGAGAGGAGGGGATGAGAGAGAAGGAGGAGGTCAAACACACGGGAAGCCGCAGAATGCAGCGATGAGCACATGAAGGCGAGCAGCAGATAGCAGCAGAATTGCCGACATGTCCCCAGGGAGGCTCAGCGCACGAACAACACGGGGGTGGGGTGGGGAGGTGAAGGTGGGAGAGGTGGGGGTGGGGGAGGTGGGGTGGGGGAGGTGGGGGTGGGGGTGGTGCTTCTACTCCTGCCTGCAGCGGCTACACGACAAAAACACATCAACGACAGACGCTATATATACATATATATCTATATAGTCCTGTCATTATTAGCTCTTGTCATATTTATAGTCCTGTCATTATTAGCTCCTGATATATATATATATATATAGCGAGCCTGCGACACTGTGGGCGTCACTTTGCTTGTATATGCGCCTTTTCTCGTGTATAGCCACTGTGTTTTATGAATAGCCGCTATTTTCATGCACGAGCGCCATCTTCTTGACCACCTTTTTCTAGACGGGTAATTGTTTTCGCTAATCAGTCACATGATACTGTCATTCACATACTGTCGTTCGCATACTGTTATTCGCGTACTGTCATTCATATACTGTTGTTCGCATACTGTCATTCACATACTGTCGGTCACATACTGTCGTTCACATACTGTTGTTCGCATACTGTCATTCACATACTGTCGGTCACATACTGTCGTTCACATACTGTCGTTCACATAGTGTCGTTCGCTTGGCTTGCAGACGGAGAGATGCGCTCGCTTCGATAAGCAGTGCAGTGGAGACAAGGTGTGTGTGCTGCAGGATCATGGGGGCGTGTGCGTCGACCCATCCACAGCAGCTGAGGTCGAAGCTGCGATCCGCTCTGCACAGGAACACAAGAACAACGCCTAGGCGACCGTTACCAATGACGCCGCCGCCGCCGCCATAGTTGTGCCTGCGCGTGCGCGTATTTTTTCTGTATTTAATTTCGACATAATTTTCGAATTCTACTTCGACGATCGTATTAATAAATTAGATAATCCTGCATTCCGCATTTTGTTGTTGATCGTATCGTTCGTTTGCATCTCTTTCTCTCTCTCTCTCTCTCTCTCTCTCTCTCTCTCTCTCTCTCTCTCTCTCTCTCTCTCT